ATCAACCTTCAACGGAGGATGGGAGTGACCAGAATCTACTGGAATGGATGGAAGCCAACACACTGTCAGTGTTGGGAGCGTGCTGCTCACTCACTGGTTAGGAAGTGGAGGTGCCTCAGTTAGTTCACAAGTTGCACGACGTCTACCTCTCTTTTACGCTGACGGTGACGCCTATCGCTGCTCGAGGGAGGAGATCGCAGAGGAAATAGATGTGATTTTACTCCTTTTTGCCTTTTCTCCTTCAACCATCTCGTTTTTTTTTTCTTTTTTCTTTTTCCTCTCTTTCATGGCTGCTGCAATTATTACAGATAAAGTAGGAAGTGGTTGTCTTGTTGTGGATGGCGTGGAGGACTTGGGTTTCAGGAGAGAGAGGGCATCAATGTTACCGGGAGTGATGGGTGTCTGTTGTGGAATGATCGGAGGTGTGGTGGAGAAGTGTTGGCCGATGGGTTCCTATGACAGCAAGGGACGGCTTGGGAACTAGTGTAACCTGTGTTTTTAAAAGTTTTATTTTTTTAAAAAAAATGAAAATTAATATTTTTTTAATAATTAAATATCATCTTAATAAAAATTATTTATAAAATAAAAAAATATAATTTTAATACAATTTTTAATAAAAAAATATTTTGAAAAACAATATTTATGGTGTTTTTTTTCTGTGTTGGTTTTTATTTTAGAAAACATAAATTGGCAATACTTGTTAGGCTGTCTCCCTTCCCCCTATTTTCTTGTGAATTTCCTCTAGAATTTTAATTGATGAATGATTCAGAGGCTTGATTTATGGGGATCAGATTAAAAACAAAGTATCTATGCTGTGATTGAGGGATTTTGAGATTGAAGTTGGAATCGTGGCTGAATATCTATGATTGAAAGGCTAAAATTGAGGGATTGTGATTCTAGGCTTCATTGCATGATTTCATAGGACTCAATTGAGAGAAACATGTGTTAACTTGGATTAACTTGAATTAAATGGATTGAATTGGACTAATTTGAAAAGAACAATGTAGGACAAATATATAATTGCTTCCTTGAATATTTTCTCCTTTTCATTACAATCCTTGAATTTTAAATTCTTTTCATTTTCATTTAATAGGTTTTAAATCTTGGATTTTTTTTTCAATTTAATCTATAAATTGATCTTTCTAATATGTTGCTTTTCAATTTTAGTCCTTGTTTTTTGAAATTTTGTAATTTTAACTAAATTCACCCTAAATCACATTTTTCTTTTCAATTGCATCCTTAACTAAATTAGACCCTCATATTTAATCACTTGTTCAAATTCATCCTTGGTTCCCAAAAAATTTTGTTTTTATTTTATAAACATTTTTGTATGATTTTTATGATTATTCCTAACTTAATTAGACACTTAAAATTACATAAAAATAATGAAGAAATTATTATGATTGAATATATACAAAAACAAAGATAAAAAAATTAGGTTATAACATCCCATATAAATTAAAAGTGTAAAAGATAAAAATATTTATATATAAATCCATAATTTAATATTTTATATATATGTTGGCCATAGTTCCTTTAGTGGCTCATTACACTCATTAATGATTCATAAGATAAAATATTTATATAAAAATTTATAATTTAATTAAGTTTGACAAAATAAAATAAAATTATGTTATATAAAGCAATTAAAACTTAAAGAATAAAAAAATAAAACCTAAAAATATATAGTGGGTTAGGTTGGATGAGTAGAGCACCTTGGTTGACGTGTGAATCACATGCAATAATATGTGACAATGCATTGTTATCCATGATTATATTAGAAGCAGCGAGTTACACTCTTATCGGTTGTGTGACACGTATAATAGTTTGAGGCGTGTGGTAACTTTTTTTAATGTTTTTTTATCTTTTTTATCTTTTCTCTTTTTAGAATTCACGTTGATCTCTGAAAAAAATAAGTGTTTTGTCATTTTGTTTTTGTTTAAATTTGATCTATATTTTTTTAATTGTTATTTTTTTCTTTATGTTATTTTTTTATAATTGATTTTTTAAAAAAATTTATCATGTGAAATTGAGGTGATTAAGAATTGAGTTTCATGATTTCTTTTAAGGGAGTGATCATGATCTCATGAACCGAGTCACGTGTTTAAAAGGCTAACATAGATTGACATTGATATTTTTTTAATCCTTCTTTATAATAATTTTTAAAAAAAATTTATCCTTAAATATTTGATTTGTTTGAAATTAAGTTTTGTAATTTTTTTTATAGAATTATCTTAATTTTATGATTTAGGTCACAACTTTGACAGTTTAGTCCTAGTTGACTTAGGTCTTTTTTTAGGTTATTTTTCTAAGATTGAATTTTTTTTAATTTTATTATTTGACATTGGATTGATTTAAGAATTGAGTTTTATAATTTTTTATTAGATTATCGCATTCGCATAATCCGACTCATATGGCTTGGCAAACTTGCTTGAGTTTGCTTGTGTTTTGGTCCTTTTGTTATTTTATTTTGTTATTTTTTATTTTTATATTTGGGTTATATATTGAGAATTGAGCATTATAATTTTTTTTATATAAAACCTTGTATTTTGTAGATAATTTAGACAATGTTTTACATAACCTACTTGAAAATAGGTCAACTTATATATATCTAAACTCTCTTTTCTTTTCCAACATAAACAAATTTATTTACATAATATTACTTTTTTTTACAAATTTATTTACATAATATCATACAAATGAACTTTTCATGTAACATACAAACTCTAATATTCTTTTCTTATTCTTATTATAAGGTGTTTATTATTAGATCCCAATAACTTATTTTTCAACACTCGATTGATGCAAATATATTATTTATTAGGTGAAGAACACGTTAATCTATGTATTATTTTTAGTGTAGATATTTTGACACATTACAATACTCAATTTGCATCCATATTATTATCAAATTATACTCAACAAATTTCTTTTCTTAAACAACATCCATTTCACATTTTATATTTTCAAAAAACAAAATATTTATTTAATTTTATTGAATTTAATAAAAAATTTAGTTGAGTCTCCTTTACATAAGACCCTATCTAAAATTGTCTTGCTATTTCTTGAATAACCACATCATAAATAAATTATACATGCTAGCCTTAGGCGTACCACTTCATTACTTATATCCTTTCAAGTCACATTTTATAATACTTCCATACATCATTTCTTTACAATACACACACAATAAAATCTGCCAAAAAAAGTTAATATGTAAAATGTTAAAAGTTAAATTATAGAATTTAATACATAATAAAATTATTAAACATTTACAACTACAAAACATATATTAAAATGTATACCTAATAAATATTATACAATAATAGCATCTAAATTGAGGTATGCGGTGGACTTCCAACAAATATGATATTATCATGCATGATTATTTAATCTATAACACGCATATATATAGCATATTCATCAAACAAAATTAAACAAACTACACTACATTACGTAATTCCCACATCACATTTCATATTTAAGCCATCTATAATTATATAAGCAAATGTTTATTCATGAACACCAACACAACTCATTCTCACTTGTCTCCATTCAAATAGCCCCATGCCTATAACACAAATTTCACCAACCCCAGCTCGCCCAAGTTGGAAACTGAGATATGCTTTAAAATAGCATGTGGCAAATCCACTGGACGTAGTTGTCAGAACCCACAAATCTACTGCACATATATACAATCAATATCTTCACAAGTGACACACCTCGGGGATCACAGGACCCATGTCAATCAATCAATATTATTGGTAGAATAATACTTAAAGAGCAATTAAAATAAATATTCAAAAAAATTAAATGGTTTAAGTTTAGGAGAAGAAAATTGATTTCCTTAGCTGTAAATCTCTCTTTGTTATTCATTCATTTCTTTTCTACCTAGACGAAAAAACATTTTTTTAAATCAGAAAATGGCTTTTAAATCAAAATTTACCATGATTTTTAAAGCAATTTTAAACCAAGAAATAAAAAAAATATTTTAATTATTTTACATGACAATATAAAAAATAAAAAAATAATTAATTTGAGACAACAATATAAAAAACTAACAATAAAAAAACTATATGTTTTATTTTCATAGAAAATTCATGTGCAATTCTTTTTGAAAAATTATTCATATAATTTCGTACATAATCATTTCAAAATAATTTTATAAATATTACCATAAAATATCTAATTTTATTTCAAAACATGGCATAATTAAATGATTTTTTTAAACAGCATTCTTATTATTCATCTAAATATAACTTTGTTTTAAAATATATATATAAAAAATAAGTGCCAAGAACATCAAATCCAGGTATACCTAGCCTTTTCAAAAATAGCAAAGGGTGCCTCAACCTTTAGAAAGAAGTTCAGGCACACTTGAGATTGAAATGTCAAGTTACACACACACACCTCTAGTGATTGAAAAATAGGATTTTGAGTTTTTGGATCTTAAGAAACTAATTTTCAACTTTGTTTTCGTATAAAAACATCCTTAAATGTCAATAACATTATTTCTAATGGCAAAACACGCTTTAATTAGGCTAGGAATCTAAAATCAAATCAAACCTTTTAAACTCCAATGTACATTTTTTTTTTGGAATTCTTAGAGATAAAAATCATCTCTATTAAGTTTTTCTCATCAAGATAAACTCATTAACACTAAAATTAAGTTTTTTTTTATCATAAAAATATAGTTCATTGAGAGCTTTCTTATTCCTCTCTGTTTATTCTCTCTCTCAATCAACAAGGATAAAATATAAGAGAAATAAAGTTTTATGACTAAGATATAAATTTTGAAAAATTCAAGGATCAGAATGTAAAAAGATATGTCTATAAAAACACGAAAAACAACCCTTCTTTTTTTTATGCTATAATTTTGGTCCATGTTCTTTAATTTCTTCTTAAAAATTCCCAGCTATTTGGATTTATTTTGTATTTTGTAATTGTAATTAAGAAAACTAAAGGATCGAAACATTCTGAAAGGCTGAGGAAAGACAGACCAAATTGAAACATACTTAAAAGTCGAAAAACTTGAATGTAGTTTGCCCAAAACAAAGCCTCATCATCAACCGTTTCACAAGGTAAGAGAAATGAAAAAAAAAAAAAAAAAAAACGTAAAAAGAAAGCACGCAACAAAATCTCTCATAAACTAATCAAAACGTGGAAGTGTTCTAAGCAGCTAAAATTTCTGTATATATAATCTCTTTGCCTCTTGTCAGTATTTTTGGTCACCGGTTACAAAATTCGATAAAGTATATAATCTTTTTGTCTCTTATCCTCTTTCTCTCTCTGTTTTGTTATCTATAAAAATACATGTCGTTTTATATTTTTATGTAGTTTTTGTGTTTGTAATTGGCAAGGTGAAGTTTATGACAAGCTCCATGGAGAAAGTCAAGGAGACTGTAGCAATAGAGGAAGAGGGTTTCTCTTTAGAGCTCCCTGCTCCTTCTGGCTGGAAAAAGAAGGTTCCTTTTTTGAATTCTCCCTCTCTGTATTTTCTTGGGTGTAAAGTTTGAATCTGTTGGGGGTAATTGTTTGTCTAGAGCTTTAATTTGGCTTAGTTTGATTTAATTGCGAATTGGGTATTTTTGAATTATGTTAAATTTTGAGTTTTTGGTGTAGAATTCGGTAACTAGGGATTTTTGGGTGTGGTTTAAATTTATTGTAAATCAGGTGGGATTTTTGGGTTTTTTGTGTTGGAATTATCTGGGTTTGTACTTCTGTTAAGTTTTATTGTGTCGATATTTGGTTAATTTTAAGTGTACCTTTTAATTTAATTATTTGTTGGATATGGTGGTGGATGTGGGAGGTTGGGTTTTGTCTTTGTCTTTTTTTGTTTGTATATTAAAGAATGGATGCGCTTAGAAAGATTTCCATTGTTTTCTCTATCTTATTTATGCTTTATAGGACTGTTAGAGCAGCTAAATATGCTAATAAAGTTTTACATGAATAAACCTCTTCTTTTTTTTTTTGCCAATTTTGAATGCTGCATATATGGTCAAAGATACAGGTGGATTTAATGTTATTATAATGATTAATAGGATTGCTAATGGTATGATATTTAGGACCATTACTTGTACTGATAGAAGTCTTAAATCGACTGATTTGAGTTTCAAGATCAATCTATAAAAAATTTGCCTTGTAGAATTGTCCCAAAATTTGTTTTTCTGACCGCTTCAGTTGGACCATTCAATGTAATGTAATGTTTTAGGGTAGGATTGTCCCCAAATTTTCCCTCCTAGAACTGGTTGAGGTGCCCATAAAATGCAACACTATAGGTGGAGTTGAAGATTTTTGTGTCTCCTGTCAATGACCCTCGTTTTCTGGAAATATGTTGAAGAATATTTGTGAAGGGGTTTTATGTTGAGATGTAGTAAACTTGTTGTTATGTTGTCAATCTGCTGTTCTGAAGGTACGTTTGATGGAATTCTGGTTTGTGAATTGGTATTTTTATCAGAGAATGCTGCAGTCTTTAGCACTGCTGAAATATACATTTTTAAACAGGAGTGTTTCTGTGAGATGTTCTACTTTTCTTGGATGAACAAGATGAAAAGGATAATAATATGGTTTACTTATGTTGTTGGAAGGATATACTTTGAAATTTCTGTGAAGGTAACAAATCCGGAATTATAATCCTCCTTGTGGGCTTTGTGACAAAATAAGTGTTTTGAATTTGATGGAAGATTTGACAGCCTTTGAAGGCTATATGGAAGAAGAATTTTAGCTGTTGATGATATTCGGAAGAGATGAAAAATTCTGGTGAACCGATGTCTTTTCTGCAGAAAAGTAGCTGATTCTATTAATGGTTTAGTTTTGCGTTGTGCAGGGGCGAGAAGTTTATGAGGGCTGGTGTATGACTTTGAGGTTTTATCGAGTTGTGGCAGGATCAATTGACAAGCAGTTAAATGCTTGAAGCCATGTTTTGGTGGAGCAATAAAAGAACGTTTTGAGGGGAAGAGTCTATTCTCAATACTGTAAAGGATTTATGGGTCAAGATTATGACATTTTGGCATTCTGAAAACTTTTTAGTAGCAAAAGGATCTTCAATAATGAATTATTTGTTTTGTATGCAGATATAGTATGTAGTCTATGAACCTAGATTTTTAGTTCATGATGTGTGTTCTTCTTGTAAATGGGGTGGCACTATGGTGCCTATGCCTATTGGTTTTCTTTACTGTCACTACTCAGAATTAATAAGGTTTCATTTAGTGGGAGATCAATATTGCAGGCAGAAGAACTGGGGAGTGAAACTAAAGGTAAAAACAAATATGGTTTATCTGGTTTGAAATAAATGGCATCAAAAGTGGAGAATTTAAATGCTTAAGCTAATCCACCATATGATTGATCTTTGGAGGTGGGTGCAAATGAGGAGGGAAAGGTCCCACTACAATAGGTTTCCTTCATCTAATTCCTAACCTCTCATTTCTTGACTGAGATACAAAGGGAGAAATGCTTTGTCATCTGGATGCCAGCCATCCTCTCTTTTCCTCCTAACACATGGGATGCTAGTAATGTCAGCTACCTGCTTTGTAGAAATCACGAGGAAACTATGGGAGCTGAAAATGTTTTAGGTGGTGTGCTTGTTAAATATTACCTCCTTTTCTTATAACTTTGACTGGAATCATAGAAATAAAGTGGAGATGCTTTCCTGGGGTTGTGAAATGGGTAACTTAAATGCACTTTGTCCTCATAACATCCCTTTGAAGTCCCCATAATACCACCACCGAGCTATGCCCTCCTCTTGTTCATGGTAATGACTAAGAAATCCTTTCACTAGAGGTTGAGATTACATTGCTTTGAAACTTATGGTGGACAATGTCATTTAAATAACTCACCTGAATGTTAAGCTTCTTTTAGCATAAAGTTATTGATGAGGTTTCTTTTCCTAGAATCACTGTATAGCATTACAGTAACACACTGGGACTGCGTGTGGTTCCTTATAACAACAGCAGCAGGACGGCAATTGCCTTGAATTTGAGTATATTCAAGTTGCAGAAATCCTGTATTGCCATTTGACTTATTTATACCATATTCATAGCTTTGAAATTTAATCTATCATCTTGACTTTCATAGTGTTGCACTTTCCTTTTAGCTGCTGCCGCTCGAATCACTTTACTTCTTTTATAGCACATGCTTAGCACTGAAATTGACATTATCTTAACATAGCATGTTTTTCAAGTGCCTTGTTGGTTGTCTGTGCTGGTCAGTAGTCAATCTAACCTTTTGGTCCATGTTAATGTGCAGTTTGTACCCAAGAAAAGTGGGACCCCGAAGAAAGGTGAGATCGTTTTCACTGCTCCAACTGGGGAAGAAATCACGAGCAAAAGACAGTTGGAACAGTACCTCAAAGCACACCCTGGTGGTCCAGCAGTATCTGAGTTTGACTGGGGCTCTGGTGAGACTCCAAGGAGATCAGCGAGGATCAGCGAGAAGGCAAAGGTAACTCCGGTGAAAGAAAGCGAACCTCCAAAAAAGAGAAGCAAGAAATCATCAGCTTCAAAGGAGAGTGAAGACACTGAAAATACTTTGGAAGGAACCGAGGAGGCAAAAGAGGTAGCTGAAAAAACTGAGAAAGGTGACATGGAGGTAGAAGTAGAAAAGGATGTCGAGAAAGAAAATCAAGATGAGAATAAAGGGCTAGGTACGGAGACTCAAACAGAGGCAGCTTGTACTGTAGAAGCTGGAGCTGGAAAAGAAGTCAAGACTTCTGCTGAAACTGAAGAGGGAAAAGCTGAATCAGAGCCCAGAAACTCTAAAGGGAAATCAAATGGTTCTGGAGCATCTGGAAACGAAAAAGAAAAAATAGATGAGGAAAAGGTGCAAGAGAAGGGTGAGCAACCACAGGGTGAGGCAGCTAAAGAGCAGGGGTCAGGCCAACAGGAGAAAGCAAGTGCAGCCATTGATGATGAGAAAAAGGATGAAGCTGAAGATGACAAAGAGAAACTCAACAAAACTGCTCCCGAGTCTGATGGAGAGATGAAGGGTAAAGAAGCAGAGAATTGCAGTGGTGAGAAACCTGACCATACAGGCGTTGATGGGGTCAAAGGGAAGGTGGATGGACAGGCGATTGAGAATGGCAGCAATGCTGGCGAGGTTAAACCTTGAGTTACTACATTTAGAGCAATTTAAGTCTCTTCACCTCCATCACATCTTTCTGACCTTTTAGTCCGAAGTCCTTTAAATGACTGTAGCTTTAATGTTGTAATGAATAGTTATCTGATTGTTGATTCAGACATGCTTTAATACTGGCACAGGTTAGGTGTATAATGTAGCAGCTTATTGCTAAACTAGTAGCCTGCAGTAGGAGTCATTGTACCATCATGGCGTCAAATACTGGTTATGTAATATTATTATGCAGTTATGTAATAAGATGTTGGAAATTCTACGTGGTAGCCTTCTCCATGCTTGTTTCATGGCATACATGGTTTGGAGTTTTCAGTTTTTCCCTTCTAAATTGACCCCCGACTGCCAGAGATTGGAATGATGGAAAAAATTGTATCAGTTAAATTTAGAGATAGAATATGACTAGGGAAGTGATGATGAGTTTCTATTTAGTGTTCATCTTTTGTTGAATTCCGTAAAACTATGGAGCAAGGATGGGATGAAGACAGGTAAAACGTGAACCTGATTTTGCCGCTCTTTTACTCGTCGAGGCTGTGCAAGATTAGAATTTACAATTTTGTTAATACTTCAAGTTCTGATACGAGTTATTCCCATGATTGCGGATTTGTGCACAACTGGTGAATATGCAGGAATCAGTAATCACAGAAAAGAATTCAGGTCGATAAAAATTCCAAGAGCACAAATAACTACAAATTTTGCAGGGTATAGCGGTAAATATTATTACTTTTAACCGAAGCTCAAAAATATTGAGCAAGAAATTACAACTCGTATGCAAGTAAAGTAGCGTTTTGATATTGTAGGAATTACTCGAGCTAGGAATAAAAGCTTGTGAAGAATTGAATGATAGAAATCAAAGAACTTCAAATGTTCCTCACAACAAAAAACAAATGAAGAGACCATCAATATCCAGATTCCTTTTCAAAGCCCTTTGAGCTGTCCAACCAGCCCTGTCAAGGCTGTCCATTTCTCAAAAGCTGTGGCTGATGATACAAAAGCAGTTTTGGAGGATTCAATGTCATTGCCAGTAACTGCAAAGCGAAAAACATAGTCAAGTCATACAACCATTGTATAATCATATCATTCAAGTTTAAGTGCTAAATTCACATCCAAGAAAATGGTGTTCAGATGTCAGCTGGGCTACTGCAGAGAACCAGACGGTAACGATTATCTTGAGATGTCATGACACAAATATAAGTCATATATCCCGATTGATTACAGTGGAAAGATAACCAACCTGATGAAATTAATGAAGCTAGTGAAGAATTGAAGGTGTCCACCTGAGTCTTTTCGTCAGGACTAGAGCTCAGCTGTAGGGAAATGGCACCAAAGTAATCAGAGTTCATCAGAAAGGAATCATGATACACAAATGCATGCACAAAACTTCATGATTACAAAATCGAAGCTTGAGCGAGAAAACGAATTGAGGACTGCTGAATCATCAATCTGTTTAAGGCCTTGAAAGAAAATAAACACATTTCGATAGAATCAATAGGTTGCCTCTATCCCACTAACGCGATGGTCCTAATACTGGGGTAACACATCATCGGCAACAAGGAGTTTTTTTAGAAAGAACAATATTCCTAGCAACTAATATACAGTCAATCACGAATATAAATAATTGTGTTTACCTTGGTGAAGGCAATATTAGCCTTTCGGACCCAATCTGTATCAGTGCTACCCCCAAGAACAGAACTAGCTGTAGATAGATCATTCTTGTCTATCGCTTGACCTACTTTGCTCAGCTTGTACACAAGATCTTGCAAATAACCTGCAACAGATCATTCCATGGCAAAACGTTAGAGAAAATATCGCCTACCATAAGGTGACGATATACTGAAAGAGGACATAAGAACTAGTTAACAAAAAGCCTACAAATTAACTGAGTTAATCTGTTAGCATGTAAGAGAAATAACAGACCTAACCTTTTTCCTGGTTAGCAGAACTAATAACTCCTTGTTTTTCTAACCTCTTCTTTCTGTCCCTCTTAACTTTCTCCATTAACTCTTCGTCGTCATCAGCTTCTAATATAGCTGCATTGGTACTAGAATTACCTCTACTTGCCAACGAGAATACAAAGCTGGTTAAGAAGCAAATAGACAAGCTTCTTTTGGTTATTATAACCGGAGAGGGTGTTACAGGCGGTGTCTCGTCACTGAGAGTTTTGCATAAAGTCAGTGATCTCGTGGCATTACATTTCTTTTGCTGCGCACAAGATAGCAGGACTGGTGTATTTGTTAGGGAAGATAGAGAAGATGGTGTTGAAGAGGAGGAGAGAAAGGGTTTTGCAGTTAAGAGAAATGCTGTTGCCATTTTTCTTGATTTGTTTCTGGTGGGAAAAATTTGAGGTGTTGATAGTTTGGGAAGTTTTATTCAAGATGATAAGGTTTGCTGGATTCTGTAATCTGATCCAGTCATTTTCCAAAATGCTCAAGGGTATTCCGGTCTGGTCAGCTAACCTTTTGTTTTAAAGCTTGCTTCGAAATTTCCAACTTGACATAGAAAATGTTCATGCATCAACCTTATCCTGCCAGAGGATATTAGTAATTTTATTATCTAATAAAAATGTAATAATAGATGATATATAAATTCATTTAATTTTATTATTTTGTCCAATTAGAGAATCGAAGATAAGCTCATCTAAATCTGGTGTAAAAGACGAGAAAGTAAACTATAATTTTTTGTTTTTTCAAGCAAAACAACACTTCACAGTTATAGGTTCAAAATTATACTTTGCACACATTGTATAAGTTGTAATCCATATGTTAAAATTTAATTTTTTTATTAAATCAAGATTTTGACTCAATTGTATAACAAATTTTGTATTTAAATAAAATGCTATTTCTAACCAAACAACTTATGAATTTCTTTTTAAATCAAAAGTTCAAAAACAACTTAAATTTTTTTTGTAAAACTTATACCCAATGTAATCTTAGTAAATTTCTTTTTTGGTGTTTAAATTAAGAGCCATGCTTGGGCCAATGATTAGAATTTGTTTGAGAGTATGAATGTGATTATTTTTTAAAGTGTTTTTCACTTATAAATACATCACAGTATTTTTTTTATTTTTTAAAAATTATTTTTAAAATTAATGCATTAATATGATCTAAAAACACTAAAAAAAATATTAATTTGAAACAAAGAAAAAATAAAAAAAATTTAATTTTTTTTCAAAACGTTTTTTATACATAAAAACAAATAAATTCATAAGATAAATAATAAGCTTACTTTTCAGACTCAGTAAGCTATTAACAAATAATATAGTGAAAATATTGCACACAACGTCATTATAAGCCTAGCCATTTTGCTTTTCTCGACCCCAAACTTTTATTTTTTGCAATTTGACTCTTAAATAGTTAAATTGATTGTCAATTACTTTTAATTTGTTAAGGAATGAAAACAATTAAAAGACAAGAGACCACAATAAAAAAAAAGTGAGAAAAATAGATGGTTATTTTAAATTTATCATTAAAAATTGATTATTCTACTTTTCAAATGATTTATTTTTAGTATGTTTATTTTTAACAATTAAATTTTGATCCAAAAATTTATTTTTATTTTTAAGTTTCTGATTTGAGATAGCAAAGAGAAAATTATCAAATTTTGATACTTAAAAAAAAAATTAGGTGTTGATACCGATTTCAACTATAAAAAAAATTATTTTTTATATTAATGGGTTGAATTTAATAAAAGGAGTCTTACTTGGGTGTTATTTGATCCTTTCCTTGCTAAAAAAAATAGATATAAGCCCAATTGTTTTTTTTTTTTGAATTCTTGTTGATTTTTAAGTTTTTGTACGACTTTTGGGTTAATGGAACCCATTAATGGGTTTATTTAAGTCTCTAGGATATTTTTTGAAAAAAAAAGAAGAAGAAAATGCTATGATTTTCCACCAACCTTATGTTACTGTTTCCAGTGCTATAAATAACAAGTTGTTTGTGTTCTTTTTTAAAACAAATTAGAGAAAAAACAATGCGTCATCCTTTCACATAAAAAGAAAAAGAAGAAGCATGATGAGCATGCTAGGCTCTTTTTTTATGAGTCAAAACCTAGCTTGCTTCTTTTTCTTAAATTATTTTTGTTTGATGCATTCTTACTCCTAAGACTTAGGAAAAAATTAATTTTATCTTCTTTATTTGAATTCCTTTTTTTAATTTAACTAAATAAATTAGGTTTTTTTTTCCGTTATTTTTTTCCTGGTTTTTTTATTATTTTTATTAAAAAAATACTATTCAATATAGAACAAGAGAGATACACATGATTATCATAAAATTAAATAAAAATAATTATTTAAATAAAATGTTATTAAAATTGATGGGGTGTGTGACCCTAACCACGAGTTTGTCAATTTAACTTGAATTTATTTTTATTTTTTAATTAAATTTTATTTTTAATTTCATCGATTAATATTGGATCGATTAAAAATTAAATTTTATAACTTGTTTCAGTTTATTTTTTTATAAAGTTATCACAGTTTTATAATTCAAAATATAAATTTAACAGATTAACCTGATTAACTTGAAATGATCTACTATATTATCGTGCCAGTACTTTATATATATATAAATCCAGCATACATTATCAGATTTTTAAAAAAGATTTTATCCAATATATATCAAGTTTTTTAAATTCATGATCAGAATTTTTTTTCTTAAAAAAATACATCAACAACACACAGATTTTTTTTTATTAAGTAGCGTGGATGGATGGTTTAGTTAGTTATCTAAATCAGGTTTAAAGGATTTATGAGAATTATAGTCATGGTTAAATTATTCATTTAACCGTGAGAAAAAACTGTTATCATTTAACTACCTCATTGAGCTAACATCTCATGGACTGAAACCCAATTCAGCAACTAGGTCATGAGGCGAAAATAACCCTAGCCCATTCTCCAATAAAACCCATCAACAAGACTTCATCTAGTCCAATTTTCACCTTCTCCAACACGCATCCAAGTAGAGCCGTCCTAGTGTCCTTGTGAGCTAAGAATCCCACCATGCCTGGAGTATTGTTCCTTTGTGTAGTTGTCAAAAACTCTTCCAAAAAGAGAACTCTTCACCACATTGCATGAAATCGGAAAAAGATGATGCAAAAGCAGATTCCCTTGCGTGTAGCATGGTAGTTGGTGAGGCAAAAGGCCGCCCAGAAAGGTTCTCCATCTCCAGCTTTTGTTAACCTTAATAACGAAGCACCATCTTCTCGAGCCAGCTCTAAAGATACCAGGCATACACGCATAGCTATCACACCTCCAAGTCTTGAAAGATTTCTTTTGATGAACCAACATAAAGCAATCACTCCATGCCAGACGCTTTTATAAACTCAACTTTCATCGCTTTTTAACGTCCATTTTCACAAGGTGATTGCTTTTTTTCTTTTCTATAATTATTATAGTTTTAATATCTTTTTGGTTTTTCTAAATTATTTGTATGTTTTTCTATGGACTTGATCATGAGCCTCCCTTTTCCAGGTCCTAACCTCGTTATACAATTGATTGTTGTCACTTGTAACCAATGATCAAGTATGAAAGTGTGGAGTTTGCTGGTTTCTACTCTGATTTAAAGGGCAGAAAATTAGTTGAAACTAAGGAGACTCTTGTGCTATAAGTTATTGTTTAAATTTCTTTAGAGCAATGACGATGGTGAAATTTGTTGCAAAGGTTAAAAACATTCACTTCTCAGTGTTAACTAGTTGTGGGACAAATTATTTTTTTAATAGTAAAAATCATAAAGATTAAGAGAAATCTAAAATTTAATATATGGATGATAATATTGAGATTGTGATATATTAAATTATATATTTTAAAAAATAATTAAAATAATAACATATTAAATTAATCAAAATCAACCAATAACTTGAGTTGTGAAACCATAATAACTATATTAAATATAAATTAAAGTATATTAAGAAGCTAAATTCTAATCAATAAAGGATAAAAAAAAAATATTCAATATGAAAAAATATATAAAAAAACAACTCGAGTAAACCTAAAAAAAAAACTAAATTTATGACCCAACTCATGAAAAAGGATCTCTCATAGACGGAAAAAAAATCCTCATAGATGGAAAAAAAAAAAGGCTTGTTCTTAAAACATCTATGGTTGAAGTATGAAATTAATGTTCCTAAAACATCTATGGTTGAAGTATGAAATTAAAAAAAAAACTAATTTTTAAAAAATAACAAAAAAACTCTAGCTAACTCGAATTAACCAATTAAATCCATAGCTTGAATCATGAAACCAACTTCATAAAAGAAAAACAATGTTTTAAAAAATAAAATTAAGAGAGAATGCATTTATCTCACCATAATTTTTTTTTAAATTATTCATATATGATTTTTTTTTAAAATAAAGTATTATTTCTAAGCAGATTGACTATGTTCTAGGTTTAACCAAAACTTACTAAAATAAATTTTATCTAGAGGATTATATGTGATGCTGTTGTGAAAACCTTTTGTTCAGATAGAATATCAAATTATCTTCAATTTTGAAATCATAATCTAAAATATTGTGTGCCAATAGTATAGTAAAATGATTAAGTGTGAAGTTAAAGTAGAACTAATACTATATACCCGTGCTTCTTAATGGTTTAAATATTTTTTTAAATAAAAAAATTATATATATAAGTTTTTTCAGTATGTTTTTGTATTTAATTTTTTAAGTGAAAATAAAAATTTTTATGTATATATATAATCAAATAAATCAAGAACGATGTATATTAATAAATAAATAAAATTATAAATGATAACTAAAAAAAAAATAGAAAAATCGAGAGATATATGTAGATTAAGATATTTAATCTCTGGTTATGTTTGCTAAATTTATTTATTAAAATAATATTTTAATTCAAGAAAATGATAATAAAAATAAAGATACAAATTAAATTGATCGAATAAAATAAAAGTAAAAAAAAACATTATACAAGATTGCACATATCATAAACATTATCTGAAAATAATTTTTTATTTAAAAAAATAAAGTTAATCTTTACATTAGAAAAAAAAATCATAAATAAATCATAAAAACTCTTTAAAATTTAAAAATGTATATATAAAAAAAAGATTGTCATTAAAAAGATATTCTCTAAACAAAATGGAAAGAGAAAAAGTATTAATTTAAATATAAATAAAAATAGAGATACCATATAAAAAGATTTAATTTTTTTTAAAAAATAAAAAAAATATCTTAGAAAAGAAAAAGAAATTTTTTTTGTTATGCTGATCTATTTTGCTAGGGTCCACACACAAGCTGGCAGAATATTGAGCCCTTATTTGTTTTGTTGCAACTTAGATGGACAACCCACTTTTTTAAAAACAAATCAATTAAAGCATTGCCTGATTTACCTAGATTTTAGCAGCAATGGTGATTAAAATATCAAAACTTAAGTTTTTTATTCAAAAACCAGTATTTCAATTAATTTTTGACCAAAAACACATATTTGGAATTGTTATAAACTTATTCATGGACTGAAAAGACAAAAAAATATGTCCCAAAAACCAAAATCAACTTGAAATTAAAAATTAAATCAAAATCATATATGTTTTTCATGAACTTTAAAAGTAAAAAAACAAATGATAACTACAAAAAAAATAGAAAAATCGAGAGATATATATAGATTAAGATATTTAATTTCCAGCTATGTTTGTTAAATTTATTTATTAAAATAATATTTTAATTCAAGAAAATGATAATAAAAATAAAGATACAAATTAAATTGATTGAATAAAATAAAAGTGAAAAAAACACTATACAAGATTGCACATATCATAAACATTATCTGAAAATAATTTTTTATTTAAAAAAATAAAGTTAATCTTTACATTAGAAAAAAAAATCATAGATAAATCATAAAAACTCTTTAAAATTTAAAAATGTATATATAAAAAAAAGATTGTCATTAAAAAGATATTCTCTAAACAAAATGGAAAGAGAAAAAGTATTAATTTAAATATAAATAAAAATAGAGATACCATATAAAAAGATTTAATTTTTTTAAAAAAATAGAAAAAATATCTTAGAAAAGAAAAAGAAATCTTTTTTGTTATGCTGATCCATTTTGCTAGGGTCCACACACAAGCCTAACTTGGCAGAATATTGAGCCCTTATTTTTTTTTTGTTGCAACTTAGATGGACAACCCATTTTTTTTAAAAACAAATCAATCAAAGCGTTGTCTGATTTATCTAGATTTTAGCAGTAGTGGTGATTAAAATATCAAAACTTAAGTTTTTTTATTCAAAAACCAGTATTTCAATTAATTTTTGACCAAAAACACACATTTGGAATTGTTATAGACTTATTCATGGACTGAAAAGACAAAAAAATATGTCCCAAAAACCAAAATCAACTTGAAACTAAAAATCAAATCGAAATCATATATGTTTTTTCATGAACTTTAAAGGTAAAAAAAACACATAATATAAACTCTCCTCGTGAAATGAAATAATTTGACACAATATCAATCTTTTTTTGTAGTATAAATCAATATCAATAATATATTTTTTTCTTTATCATTAGCACACGATGATTTCTCTCTTTTCTCTTAATTAAAAATTAAAAAATATTAAAAATATATTTTATATTAAAATTCAATAAAAAAAATCAACATATCAAAATTATATAATTTATATTATTTTAAAAGTTAAAGAAGCAAACTATATTTTTTTTCTAAACTTCTAAAATACCATTAATATTTAACGCATTTTTTCTTTGAATTCTAATTATTTCAATGTCAGCCTTGACTAAGAAAGCAAAGCCAAAAAATAAACAGAGTCATTGAAAGTACTTTATACGCGCATGAATAATGCTGATATCTCACACGTTTTAATATATAGTATAATGTAGTTGGAGGATAATGAGTGATGCTAACTTTTTTAGTTTTTTTTAAAAAGCGGGGGCCTGCCATGGTGTAAGCGCGTGGTTGGTGAAAAGAAATGCAAAGCCTCTAAAGCGGGCGAGCATACAGTGACTAATAGAAGCAAACTACACTCGTGTTCACGGAGTCAGCAAAAAGGGGAAGTTTTAAGAACATAATACCATTGCTCATGATGTTTTGGCCCTTTGATCATCAGCTAATTGCCTAGTTTTGGACTTTGATTCCCAAATTGACTACAATATGATACTTGGACTTGAAGCTGTCCTTTTCCTTTCTTATAACATGTAAAAATAAAAATAAATTAATTAATCAATTACTAATAAGTCGTTTTTAAAAATAATTCTTGTATAAAAATAATATTTTTTTATTGTTTTTAAAATTTATTTTTAATATAACTATATCAAAATAATTAAAAAAAACTTACTTTAAAAATTTTGACGAAAAAGAACCTTAATTCCAAACGGGTTCAAAACCAATAAAAGTTAAATAAAACCCTTCACTCACTTCTATAATAAAACGTCCCCCAGAAAAAGTCCGCCAAAACAAAACCTTCAGCTCTCACTGCCTTCATTCTTCTTGCAATTTTCACAGACTTGGATTTGATATATAGAGAGAGAAGATTTAGATACATATGTAAAGACCCTTTTAAAAATATAGATTAGAGATTTAAAAAAGATTCCAACTGATGGAGACAGTTTTTTTTGAAACTTAACCATTTGTAAAGCTAAAAAAGTTAAAAGAAGCAATCTTTTTGTGTGTCTTATGGCATGCCACTACCAGCTGCATAGACGAAGAAGAAGAGTTTCAGTGACATTAAAGGAGTTAATTCAAATAGAGATCTTCTGGGGGTGGCTGTGTGATCTTCACAATGAAAAGTCGTCGTTGTCATCGTAATCAGTTGCTGTTTACGTTCTTGCTCTTTTTTTCTCAAAAGACTGGTATTTTTTTTACTCCTCTTCTGCTATTTTCTTAGTTGATTTACTGGGTTCCTTTTGTTGCTATCTTACTTGGGTTGATCTCAGACTTTGTGTTGAATTGAATGGAATTTGGATCGTTAAGCCTTTTGATGTCTTGAGTTTTTTTTTTAGCTTGTTATTACAACTGCGGGCTTGCTAGTCTTACGGTGGATTTTCTTGGGTTGCTTTTAACATTTGGTGACTTTAAAGTGTATTGACTGTAGTCAACTGGAGCACAGTGTGTTGTTTGTTTCTCCCGCAATGATTGCTCAATGCTTACAAAATTTTAAGAGAGTTGATTTTGTTGTTCTTGATATTTTATTCTTTTTGTTACCGTCCGAATTTCTTATATGGGATTTTTCTTTTCTTTTTGCCATTTTTTAGAAATTGACTGACTCCATTCTTTGGTGGATCAAACTTGTTTGCTTGGTTTCTAAGTAAAGAATTGGAGGTAGTTATAGCGTTTCTTTAATAGAGCTCCTTGTCTGAGGATGATTTTACTATTACAATTTTTGTTCAAGTGTCAAGAGTGCCGCTGAATCATTGATTCTTCTCTCATTTTATATTTAGTCAATACGAGGAGCTGCTGTGAATTGTATTATAGCACTATTCATCTTGTCTTTTCAATGATCTATATTGGGATTCATTGGTCTTGCATCTGCGAGTTACACACAGCAGAGAATAGGAAAAGTCAAATTTAGTTTGGTTATGATCGATTGATCATTGTATTCTCATAACATAATTCAATACACATTTGGAGGATTTCATTGGTCCTATCCGTCGTTTTTGCATTTGTTCTATGTTCCTTGTTCTTTGGTGGCTTGAAACAACTTAGAAAGTGGTTAAAGAAATTATCTTTGTCATCACTTCTTCTTTCCTTCCAGAGCTTCTAACAGCTGAAGCATTCACTGGAACCTATGGAATAAATTATGGAAGAATTGCAGATAACATCCCTTCACCAGATGAAGTTGCTACACTTCTCAGGGCAGCAAAGATTAGGAATGTTCGGATTTATGATGCTGATCACAGCGTCCTCGAGGCATTCAGTGGCACTGGGCTTCAACTTGTTGTTGGGCTTCCCAATGGATATCTGAAAGACATGAGTGCTAATGCTAGCCAAGCCATGTCTTGGGTTGAAGAAAATGTGCAAGCATTCCTTCCTAAGACCAGTATTTGTGGGATTGCTGTGGGTAATGAAGTTTTGGGAGGAGGTGATAATGAACTCTGGGAAGCTCTCCTGGGAGCTGTTAAAAATGTTTACAAAGCCATAAATAAGCTTGGCTTGGCTGATTCAGTTCAGATTACTACATCACATTCACAAGCTGTTTTTGCTAATTCTTACCCTCCCTCTTCGTGTATATTTGAAGAGAATGTTGCACAATACATGAAGCCGCTCTTGGAGTTCTTCTCACAAATTGGTTCTCCGTTCTGCTTGAATGCATATCCTTTCCTGGCCTACACTTACAATCCAGAGAATATTGACATTAACTATGCCCTTTTCGAGAAAACTAACGGAATATATGACATGAAAACAGATTTGCACTATGATAACATGCTTGATGCGCAGATTGATGCAGCCTATGCTGCTCTGGAAGATGCTGGATTCAAAAAGATGGAAGTCATAGTTACAGAGACAGGTTGGGCCTCACGTGGAGATGATAATGAAGCTGCAGCAACCGTTAATAATGCAAGGACATATAATTATAACCTGCGTAAAAGGCTTGCAAAGAAGAAAGGTACACCACTCAGGCCGAAAATGGTGGTGAAGGCCTATATTTTTGCTGTATTTAATGAGAATTTGAAGCCTGGACCAACTTCTGAGAGGAATTTTGGACTTTTCAAGCCTGATGGAAGCATTTCATACGATATTGGGTTTCATGGACTTAAATCTTCATCTGCAGATTCATCACTTCTATCGTTGAAGGTATGAGACTCTTTACACCGTAGATCATTTATAAGGCAACATATTGGGATTAGATTTGTTCGTTTAGTTGTCTCCTTTCACATATATATGTTTTTTCCCCTAATTCTAGGCTCTTTTTGACAAAATATTCAACAAACCAAGTGAAATTTTAAAAACTCTGCTGTAAACCATCTACATTTCACTTCTCAAGTGTAAGATTAAGAAACGGGGAAAAGAGTCCTCCACGATCCCAGAGGCCCTTTGCTTTGTGGATGAAGAATGGGCACAAGTCCACATTTTCTGCAATTGTAGGAGCCCAATATCCCAAATCACATCGCTGTATGGCATACTTAAGTTTAAACAATTAATTGTACATGACATCAAATCCTACTCTATGCATTGAATTCAGTTTGTCTCCTCCTTTAGAATTGCTTTCTTTTGGGTCTCACACCAATAGTGTTAATTTGCTAGAAAGTGCTACGTTTTGCTCTGCACTGCGCCCTGGATCTCTGATCCTTCTCTCTTAAATAATTATGCAGTAACTAAACTACGGACATTCAGTGGGTTGAGTTTGTTTGAGCACTTCTACCATATATGATTATGATATTTGTCATCTCAAACCATTCTCTGACATATTAAAATGTATTAGACATGCCATAAAATTTAATTCTCTGAGACCAACAAATTGCTGTCTTTTGAAAGCTGATTTTAAGGGGCTATATATTAAGTTACCACCAGAGGATTTGCATGTCGCTTTCATAACAGTTAAGGGAAATGCATATGCACAGTAGTAATCAACAGCCCATCCTCGTAAGTTGGAGAAGGGTAAGTGAGAAAGGTGATGTAGTGTCTGTGCGACTGCTTGTGTTTTTCAATGATCTGACTTCTATTATTACCTGAATGAAGAAATTCTAATTTTTTTTTTCCTGTTTTTCTTTTTTCATTTGCACTCGTGCAGGCTGTCCAAGCTCGAGGTTTGTCCAAGTCCTACATACTGATATTGACAATCTCTGCCGCTGCTTCGTTCCTATTTTTGAAGCAATAATGCTGGAACAATTACTCTTATATTAGGCAAAACCAGTGTTGGAAGTCAAAAGCTCTAGGTTTGATACCATTCATGTCACTCGGAGTACAAAAAAAATACTGGTCCGATACCATTAATGTCACCCGGAGCACAAAAAACAAAAATACAAACATTGATTTTCTAACTTGCATAATATATTTCCCAGGAATTGTGATTTTTATCTAATTTCAGCAAATGTATTTCAGCTCCTATCAAACAGAACCTTTGTTTTATCTGTTACAGTTTTCCCTATCCAACCGTTGTATTTAGGGAAAAAGATTGTGATCATGTCTCGGACTAGCGGCATTAGAATCAGCCGTCTCATGCCAAGTTTCTTTCAGAATCTGCTGCTGCTCCAGCAGAGGGATCAAAAGCTCATCATAGAGAGGTGTTTTTGTAAGTGTATTATGACCGCATTTAAAGTTAAGCATCGGACGAGCAGGCATGAATCCTTGTGTGGATTCATATGATTGGGCCATAGTTTGAAAATCTAATCCATAAAACGGTGAACCACCTAATAAAATGGGGAAGCACACGAAATGCAAATATCGTGTTCTTAAAAATTTTAATTTTTTATTAAAAATAAATTTTTTTATATGTTATCATATTATTTTAAATAATAACACCAAAAATAATTTTTATAAAATAATAAAATTTTATTTTAATATATTTCTAAACTAAAATTACTTTGCAACTGCACCAAACAGTCACGCAGTAGATTTAGCAAACTCATCATCACTGATGGCTATCAAATCTTCCAAACAAATTAGCATACATCATCATTGTCTGAGTGGGATCGCTTGAAAGACTCCAAGATTAAGTTGATATTTGTTTATGTATGTTAAAAATATTTTTTAAAAAATTTAAATATTTTTTATTTTTTATTAACTTTAAATTGATATATTTTTAGTATTTTTAAATTATTTTGATATACTAATATCAAAAATAATTTTTAAAAAATAAAAAAAATATTATTAACATATATTTTAATACAAAAAAACTATTTAAAAAACAACCACAACAATACTTTCTAACAAACCCTAACTAAGCTAGCTGGTCTCCTCAATTCTAGTACTGGGTCCATAGTGTTGTAATGTCCTTGTTGCGTGGGATACTTCTCCAGCTTAAAAGGACCTTTAAGGGCTTGAATCCTTGGTGCATTTAAAAAAAAAAAATTTAAAAATTTAAATTTTTTTCATTAACTATAAATTAATAAATTTTTAGTATTTTTAAATTATTTTAATATAATAATATTAAAAATATTTTTTTTAAAATAAAAAATATCAATAATATATATTTTAATACAAAATATTATTTAAAAAATAATCATAACAACGTACATAAATAAATACTATTGCTCTTAATCTTGTTATAAACCAAAAGCCAAGTCTTTTACCAAGTTCTAGAATCTGGAGAAGGCTTGTTTTACACGAGGGTCACAAAGTCAAGAGCTACCCTAGAACCCTAAAGTAAGTAGGCTTGTATTCCCAAGAAAATATGTGCATAATATTGAAAATGGGTTCGAGTGATGATGTCCGTTGATGTTTTGCTTTATTAGTGTCTTCTGCTTGAGAGAAACGTAGTCGTGTTTGAACTTTGTCGGCGTCATTTTCTCCCCATCCCTTTGGATTTTTCTCTCGTTGAGGTGACATCATTTTAGGCTTCTATCAGGTCATCAATACATGAAGTAATCTTACACCCCCTTTGTTTGTTTTAAAAAAATAATAATATATTTTTAGAAAATAAATTGTTTTTTAATATTTAATAATATTATAAAATATAAATTTAAAATCAATTTTTAGTTATTTACCATATAAAAACTAAGTTCAAAAATATTGAAACTTGAACTGGATGATATGTAGATTAACAATCTTGGCATGAATTGTTAAGGATGCAATAAGTTTCATTTGACCCAGTATATGCAAATATCATCCACGCGTTTTCAATACAAGAAAACATTTCATAGCCACAAGCTGATATTCCTGACACATGCAAGAGCACATTGACTTTACCACCTACTACGTTTTATCCCTTTTTCTTCTTCTTTTGTTGCCAAGATGGAAATACGTGCCAAAGCCAGTTTAGTTTCTTAAGAATATACATGCAGGCACTTCATATAATTTTCGACTGGCTATTTAACATTTAATAATTTTTTTAATAAAAAAATAAATATACAAGTTTTTTAATATATTTTTGAGTAATGTTTTTTGCAATTATAAATCAAAAGACATAAATATCTAATTAATTAAATTGATATTTGATCAAGAGATAACTAAGATTAAAATATTTAACTTTGCATTATAATATATATACTCATTCATATTAATAATTATAATTGTTTTAATATATTTTTTATTTAATCAAATAATTATTTATGTAAATAAAAGGTAAAAAAATTATCAGTGAAAATAAATGAAATAAAACTATGAAGTTTAACTATAAAACAATCCAGTATTGAATCACACAACTAAAAACAAATTAATTTAAAACCAATCTAATATTGAAGAAACAAATTGAAAAAAATCAATTTAAAATATTTTTCAGAGTAAATTCAATAAAGAATAATAAATAAATAGAATCAAGATAACTTGAATTATTTTTAAAATTATTGAAAAACTCTATAGAAAATAAATAAATAAAAATAATAGAGTTTAATCTCCAATTGAATAAATACTAAAGTTTAAAACTAAAAAAACATGAACTTAAAAAAATAAAAACAACTTATGTTAATCTTTAAAACTTAAAATTTGTGAAACCCTATATCTGGGCTTAATTAAGAATTTCAATTTCAAATCAATTTAATAATGGAGGATAAAACAAGAAAAAAATCAATTTTAAAAAGTTACTGAAGTAAAGAAATAATGATAAAAAAATATGGATCACATTTAATAGGAAAAAATCATGTGGATGATGAAATTATAAAAAAAAATTAAAAATTATCTTAATCAAAATAAAAAGAATATAAATCAAATTTAAAAGATAACAAAATTGAAGGAGGATGAAATTAAAAAAAAATTAATTTTATAAATTATTTTAAATAAAATAAATAATAAAAAAAACACATGAATCAAATCTAAATGAATTCAAAATTGAAGGATTATTTTGAAATTAAAAAAAAAATAGGTGTGAAAATCATGAAGAAAAAAAATAAAAAAATAAAAAGTCATCACTACTAAAATAGATGATCGTTGACCACATTCATTATCTTTTTATAAAAAAAATATTGAATCAATTCAAACATAAGATAGTATTTGATTCTTAAATAGTCTTACATGTATTGTTCATTATAATAGTTATTTTTTAAATAATATTTATATTTATTAAATTGTAAATTTGCTCAAAAACCAATCAAATATAAATGCAAATACAAAAATGACACCTGAACGCAAGCTATAAAAAATCTTCTTCTAAGGACATGCAAGTTATTTTACTGAAAACACCCATTTATTAGTTTGGAATTCATTTATCACGGTTTTACTTGATGATGATGCCATTCAACACCTACCCTACCCCTGTGTGTGTGTGTGTGTGTATATATATATATATATATATAAAGGTAGAAAGATTTCCTAGTCAATTTTGCAAGCATCTCCCTTCAAGTGGCACCAATCCATCGGCCAAAGAACCAACTTTCTCTAAAGACAATTCTCCAACTCCCTCTATTTATAGATAAGAAGATTAGATAGAGAACCTCACACACAGAGAAAGATCATTCGAGAAGGGGTGACTTTACCTTTGAGAACACACACGCTAGACTAACCAACATGAGAAGTCTCATTGTTTTTGTAGTTTTAGGAGCAGTATCACTATTGTTGCGTGGCTCAGAGGCAGCAGATCATCAGGTTGGAGACACCACCGGGTGGACAAGACCTACTAGCACCTCTTTCTACTCTGACTGGGTTTCAGGCAAAACCTTCGCTCTTGGTGACACTTTAAGTAAGTTGGCTTACACATACAAAACACCGATATTCATGCTCAATTCTTTATCTCTAATACTTTCTGTTAAATCCTGCTTTGATCTTTGAAGATTAAATCCAAGAATTATATGTTAATTAGCTGGTGAACTAGCATGACATGATATTTTTGTACATATAATTCCTTAAGATGATCTTTTTTGGTCTGTGCTCCGATATATATATTATACTTATTAAAATTGGTTAGAAGAAAAACGTAATCTCGATATTAAAACTAAATCAAGGATGCTTCAATACTCTAATTTTCTCTCTTTGGGTTGCTTAAATTTAACTGGCAAAACTATTGCTTTGGCAGCATTCACATTCACTACAGGTGTACACGATGTGGCCACTGTCTCGAAGAGTGATTATGATAATTGCAACACAGGCAGTCCAAACAGTGTTGTGACAACTGGACCAGCAAAAATCACTCTCAATGTTACTGGAGATAGCTACTTTCTTTGCACGTTTGCTGGCCACTGCTCCGCGGGTCAAAAATTAGCCATTAACGTACCAGCAGGCAACACCCCCTCACCAGGGACATCACCTGAAACTCCATTTTCTCCACCGCCGCCGCCACCACCCTCAGCCGCCTCAAGTCTTGTTGCTACCTTTGCTTTGATGTTCGTGTCCATTGCCATTAGTTTGATGTGTTGCTTTTAACCCATCCTGTAGCAATAATTTTCTAGTGTTCTGTCATGTTGTTTCTATGTATTTGATCACTTATTTGAGGATATACTGATAGGCTTTTATAGCTTCTATGTACTTTATCACTCATTTGTTCTTTATATATCAAATATTATTTTAAGTTTTATTTTGGTGATTCCACTAAGTATGATGCCACCCCATTATATTATTATAATAATTAATCTGCAGACCTAACCATGTCTCCATTTTCAACGAGTTGCCTTGTGTGACCTAATTTTCCCTTTGAGTTTACTTTGAACCGTTAATTAATCAGGTACAGTGACCTCGTGGCAACTTTTCACCGTTGGGCCAAATCCTCACCTAAACAAATGAAAGAGGCACGAGCTTCCTAGATTTTCCAACGATTTTTTTTTTCAGAAAGAGAGACTTGTATATTAATTTAAAAGGATGGCTTTCAACAAAAGTCATTAACTTGCAGCAGGTTTCTGCATATAAAAACTGGTCAACGGGAGATTCAGCTCGTTTAATTGAATATATGTAGGCATTGAAATTCAAGGTATTCCATTACTAGAGTAAGAGTTTGAACTAAAACACATGGAGATGAAATCGGACTATATTTTTTTTGCGGTATTCTAGCGTATCGAGTTGAAGATTATAAGTTCTTGCCGAAGGTCTATATATAATCTGGGCAACTCCCATGTCAGCCACATGGCTTGATTCGAAGGTGAA